AGTATTAACCATGTTAGTACAAAGCAATGTTTGCTGCTTAGGTAAGCAAATGTACAGCCTGTAAATAAAAAAGAAAAAAAATCTGGATATGAATGTTGTTTTTTATGTGTATACAGCTGTGGTATCTTATTGCAAGAAACTAACAAAATCCTTTTTAGAAAACACTGATCTGGATCTAAACACTTGATCTAAAATGTTGAATTAAAGTGACTTTAAGACCTGTGTTGCATGTTTGAAGTTCTTAACTATTAAATCTTATTAAATAAGGAAAAGGAGTTACAGGCCTTTTACTTCTAAATGGAAGATGATTTTTAAAGCAGGAAATATTGTTCATTATTTGGAGTTTTTTTCTGTCAAAATGTTCAACTTGTGTTTCTTACTTTCTTTTTTTTTTTAACTTAATGGAAAAGAATTAGAGAGCCAAAACACCTTGTTTTATATTAAGTTCCTCAAAACATCACTTGGAAGAGATGTTGAGCAAGTTTGTGATGATCTGGCTTGATCTGAAATCTCAAATTTTGAGGCTCTGAAGCAAAGGGGTTCCGGAAGTTTCTTTACAGGAATTCCATTCCCACAGGTCAGCTCATTTCACTGAGGGACATGGGAAGGCAACAGGCTGTGGTATATTCCAACCACTACCAGTTCTCCTTCTTGCAGACCACCAGGGATTGAAGGAAAGGAGACAGATAAAATGACAAGATTGTAGTATAAAAAGATAGTTTGTAATATATTGGTTTATGATCATTGTCCTTGAAGTCCCAATGGCACACAAAGTAAAATAATTTAAAGTAAAGGAGATGATAAAAAAGGCTTTGATGTTATCAGAGATTTAGGATTTTATTCTTATTCAGGTGTTGTACTCCTGAAGGAGAGAATAATTAATAATTGACTTTCTTCAAGTTTGTGTCTAGCTGATAGAAAATGAGCTGCTCTGTGCTAGACAGTAAAGTTACCATCAGAAAATAGTTTCAGTGGGGTTAAGGTTACATCAGGCCTGCTTTGCTAATTTGAAATTTTGGACTCATGAGAAGACATGAGACAGCCTCTTTAGCATTTCAATCCACATTTTGGTGGATTTTTGGCCTGTATGTACTCACTAACCTCCTCAGTAATGTAACACTTGGATTTCCATCTGCATGAGACAGCAGAACCCATCACGCATCCCAGCTTCAGTTGAAGTTCATACATTTTGGATTTTGGCATACACTGTAGGTGGAACTCCAAGTGTTCCAGGTGTTGGAGTGTGCTGCTGCCAACCTTGATAAAATATCAGTGAAGAAATCATCTGTCCTTACTGCTTGCTTGCATATTTTAAGGGTCCTCATTTGAGCTGGTGTAGTCTCTGGTGTGCAAGCTGACTGCAGGGAAAGATTTTGCAAGTTTGTGTTATATCTGTTAAAGGCAGCACAGAGAGAAATGAAATACAAAGCACATGACATGATTACAGTTTGTATGACTTAGAAAATGAAGTCTTATACAACTTAACTCAGTTACTCTTAATAAATAAGCAGTCTTATCTATCTCTGACAGCTTTGAGGCTCTGTGTCTGGGGTTACAGTTGTTCCTTCCCCAGTCTGTGTCACCTCTGTACTTTAGATCTGTAAAATTGGAGCTGCAGGGTTGGCAAAATGAGCTTCAGAATTTGTCATTTAGCAAGGATGTGATACACATTTCCCATCTGCAGGCACAACTGTTGAACAGCTCCTCATCTCAGCTGAGAGGTGAATTGTTGTGGTTCCTTTCCTCACTGGGTGGTTTCAGTGCTGAGACTCAGGGTGGGCTGAAAGGCTTTTGTGTTGGGAAACCGGGATTCTTGTTTTCTGACTCAGGTCACACAGCATCACCGTGGGCTGTTAAAACTTAATTTGTAAACTTGCTGTGTGCCATTGCAGCTGGAGAGGACTATCTGCAACCATAATTTATTTAAAAGTTCCTTTGTGTTACTTGGCACATGGAAGTGATGGTGTCTGCTTAATTGATCAGGGCATGTCTCATGAGTGATTTAAAATTACCTAAAATTGGACTATACAAGCTTTTGTTGTGATGCTATTGTCATGGGATGCATTCATCTAATGCAGTGTCTTAACACTATTTTGAAGCTGTGTGTAGCTTGAGTATCAGAGAGAATGTTTTGGAAAAGTTGGAAGTCTGAGGTTTGTAAACAGCTGAGTCTTTCTTCAGGTTGTATTTTAAAGTATTTGTATTTCTGTATGAAATTGCTGTATTGTTTCATAGAATGAGTTAATTGTGGGTGTCACTGAATTCACAGAATCATAAAATGGATTGGTTTGGAAGGGACTTCCGTGGTCATTTGGTTCCAACTCCAATTCTTGTATTCCGTACTTTAGAGCACATTTAATTTACTTAAGAGTCTTTGAGATTCCTCAATCCAAGTAGAGAAGCCTCTGTCATAATCATAGTGTAGTTTCAATATGGCTATAAATTTTGAGACTATAGGGGTGTCTCTGTATCTTTTCTGTTACAGAACTGAATAAAATGCTCTACATTTTTTGTCCCAGATTTAATATGCAGGAAGGAAATTGCTCAAGCCAGGATTTTAAAATGTTAATAGATAATGGAAGGAGAAATCAGAGCATGGTGGTACAAGATAAAGGTGGGTTACACACAGATCTGATCCTCTCAGAACTGAAGTTTATAGGCTCCTCTTTGATTTATGATTCCTCCAACTCTTTGCCTGCTCAAAGCACACACACTGTGATGGCTGGGTCCAGGCTTGGCAAAACCAGGAGATAAAGAATTAGCTCAGGCAACAGCGAGAATTACTGATATTTGTAGAGTTTGGGTGAATTTACAGAATTTGGGGATCTGCCTGCAAGTAAGGATATGGTCATGTGAGGTGTCTGCACTCCAGTGATCTACTCTTCTATATCAGAATATGTTAAAAACATTATTTAATGTATCCAGAAAGGCTTTGTAGGGAGGAAAAAAACAATGGCAATGAAAAGAAAAAAGGATCATTTTAATTAAATATGTTTAGTTTCTAGTGACTTATGACAATTAGGAGTGAAAGGAGGTGTTGACAACGTTATTCCAAAGCTGTGGTTTAGGTTTTGAAATGTTTTTAGATTAGCATAATCTAAATGTGTTGATACTGTCTTAAAGCAACTTTACTTTGAATGCTAAAAGAGGAAGCAGGAACTTGGAATAAGAAGGTGACACTGATCGGTATAAAGTGGAACTTTTTCATAGATCACTTTTTGAAACCTGGAGGGAGGATTCTTAGTCAATAGCTGTGTCCTTCCAATGCCAAATGAAGTCAGTTGAACCTTTTTCATTTAATGATGAAAGTGCATTTCTATGTATTAGAGGTTTAATTTGTAATAATTTTAAAAATGTCTGTGGTAATTTTTGGTAAAAGACCAAATACTGAATAATAGTGGGGTGTGGATTCAGAAGGAAAAATAGCCATCAGTATGGGGGATTTCATTGTGTTTTTGGAGCAAGGAAAGAAGAAATAAAACAAAAAAGCATTTTCTTGAGTAACTTGTTCTGAGTTCATCATGTGTCCGTGGTTGTGCTAATAAATATCTTCCTTGCTTGTGAATATTTAGACTGGGATTCATTGACTGCTTTTGGCATTCATGTTCTCTGTCAGAAATAATCCTATTTCAAGAAGTCTTTGCAAGTATGTTGAAAGAGTACAAAACTGGATTTTAGGTTTGTGAGTACAGGTTTGGTAGTGTGATGGATTACACACTTCAGATCATCTGGTGTGTAAAGGAATACCAAAAGGCAGCTATTAAGGTTTGTAAGTGCCCTCAGAGGGACATTTCTGCCTCCTCAGGGTACCTTTTATTTTGAGAATGGTGTTGCTTTGCAATCTCGTTGCTCAGAAATGTGTCAGCTAACTTCCAGTTCATTGTTTGAATGGAAGAATTTTTCTTTCAAGATATATTAAGGCATTTATTTCACTCAGCAGGTGAATGTTCACTCAATAGACAAACTTCTGAACAAAGGCTCTTTCCATCCTCAGTTTTTCCCTCACATCTTTTTGAGAAGACTTCAGAATGGATTTCTTTAGAACTCACATGTCTGTCATTAAATAAGTAGCAGTAAAAAAGGATTGGTTTGCCACAGCTAGTGTATTCTTGAAAAAATCCTTTTCTGTTTTCATAGCATACTAGTATTTCATGTTTGAAAGCTTGACATACCCTGTTTATCTGATAGTAATTGTTGTTATTAACATCGGACAGAAGATTCCATATTAGATGTTAAGGCACCAAGAACTTAAATCGTCTGCTAAAAGGTGCTTCCAAAAATACATATTTGTTCTGGTGGTTTTTAAAAGGTTGACATTGTTCTAACTGATGTTTTGGCAAATGTACCTTCAATTTCAAAAAACATCTACTCTTTTTTTAACTTGAGTGCAATAGTGACATTTGTCTGAACTTATTTTAATCTTTTCATTTGTAACTTCCAGGATTCTCTAAGTGTCATAGATGAGAGAAAATCATGAGCTTTGTGGAATTTCCAAGTATTGCAGTGGAGGTTGCTTGTATCTAGTGATGCCAAACTTGAAATAAACCTAGCTTGTGTAAAACAGACAAACTGAAATAGCTCACAGTTCTGTTACTCTTGTCATTGTCCATTATCTTTTCAGATTAGGACTGAAAGAAGGAATTTTCTCTCCTCTGTTTTCCTCCCCATTTGGATTTTGCATCTAAATAAGGTCCACTTAAAATTTAATAATGATGATGTCAATTCCATATTACATAAGGTTTCTAAGAGTATAGCCTTTCTAAAGGGGCAGGGTAAGAGAATATGTCTCTAATATAGGAAAATACAGAACTCAGTGACGTTCTTTACACCAGTCTATAGTCAGAACAATTAATTTACATTTAATGGGCAGCAAGGACAGGAGGTATATTCTGTGTAAATACCACACCTGAATGCACAAATCAAAACTTTGTTGAGTAGGAAGGGAATTGTGGCCCAGTGAGGAGGAGGATGGTTATTCACTGCTGGTTTCTGTGTCGCAGGGGTCCGTTCAGCGTCGTGCGGCGATGCATCAACCGGGAGACGGGGCAGCAGTTCGCTGTGAAGATCGTCGATGTAGCAAAATTCACTTCAAGTCCTGGATTAAGCACAGAAGGTAAGAATTAATAATTAAGCAAACTCCCAGCAGACAGGTTTTTTTGATTTGTCAGCCATTCCTATGTTTGCTCTCTTTATGATGCTTTCTGGTTTATATTTTCTAGAAGTTTTAAAGCAAGGTTGTATGTCTCAAAATTAGCTTTGTGCTTGCATTTCTAATCTTCAGTAGTTTCTGCATATATTCAGTGGTAATCATAAATATTAGAAAGATAGGTCTGAGCCATTTCTGTTTGAATTTTTTTGTCTTAAGAATCTGGATTTTGCAAAGAAAATACTAGTTCTGAGTCAAAAAAGCATACACAAGAAGTAAAGCAAGAACACATGGGTTTTGGTTTACACTAGTCTAGATTTAGCAAGTAATATTTGCTATAAATGGATGAAAACTTGCTATTAAAGTGCAAAGTTATATAAAAGTTTTTTTAAAGTTGTCAGGATTACAGGCAATGCTGCAGAACTGCTACAGTGCAAACACAAGGCTGTAACTCTCTAAGTTACAAGTTTTCTGCTTTAGAGTAAAAAAATCTGTGTTTTACAAGTTGGATACACAACTTGTGTGTGCATAAAGTTCTTTTTTTGCCCTGCATGGAGAAGAGCATTGCCAGCTGAGTGACATTTGCTGTGTTCTCCATGCCCTGTATATTTTTTCTGGAGACGATATTGGATTTTGCAAAGAAAATACTAGTTCTGAGTCAAAAAAGCATACACAAGAAGTAAAGCAAGAACACATGGGTTTTGGTTTACACTAGTCTAGATTTAGCAAGTAATTTGCTATAAATGGATGAAAACTTGCTATTAAAGTGCAAAGTTATATAAAAGTTTTTTTTAAAGTTGTCAGGATTACAGGCAATGCTGCAGAACTGCTACAGTGCAAACACAAGGCTGTAACTCTCTAAGTTACAAGTTTTCTGCTTTAGAGTAAAAAAATCTGTGTTTTACAAGTTGGATACACAACTTGTGTGTGCATAAAGTTCTTTTTTTGCCCTGCATGGAGAAGAGCATTGCCAGCTGAGTGACATTTGCTGTGTTCTCCATGCCCTGTATATTTTTTCTGGAGATGATATTCTTTTGTGCAGTAATGTTTTGGGGGGGTTCCACTGATGCCATGACAGTCCTTGTGAACCCTACTTCAGCAAAAAGGGTCAATGACTTCTGTTGGTGTTTACAGTATCTTGAGCCTTAATGACTAGCTTGATTTACTAGGTAAATCACAGATCTTGCCAGATATTTTCATTTAATAATGCCATTGCTGTTTGTTTTTTCTAGCCCTCTAACAAAGTATAAGCCACATTTTCCACAATATTCAGCTTCTAATTAGCTCCATCATGGTTTTGGCAAGTTATACCAAAACCATTGCATTCTGACCTATTGAATGTTTATTAAAACTATTTGATACCTTTTAAATAAGGTGTGTCTATATTCTATTTTTCTAAGCCTCATTTGAACTGCTGATGATAGGGCCCATTTCTGCCTTTGCTGGAATATTGCCTTCCTGGCTCCATGATAGTAAAAGTCAACCTTTTGAGGCCATGAAGAATTTCTGAAAGGGAAAAGTCATAGGCAAAAGAGAAGGGACTCATCAGGAGGAAAAGAAAAGCCAACAGTAATAATAGATTAATTTAAAAAAGGATAAATGTGGATGGTTTGCAATTTGTGCCTGGGTCTAAAGAATAGGCTTGGGAGTGTATTAAGAAGTCTGGTGTTTTTCTAATTCCACTTTTGTGTGTGTCGTTGTCATTTTAATTCAAGGTAGCAGATCACTGAGGTATGATCATAAACATTTTCTGGATTTAGTGGTGCTTTGTTTTGTTTTGTGGTTTTGGATTGTTGTTTGGGTTTCTTTGTTTTTGTTGTTTTGGGGTTGGTTTTTTAAAAAGTTTTGAATTGTTATGCCTTAGATTTGTAATATTAAGACACAACGGCACATAAATGTGTAAGTGAGCGTGGAACATGTTCTTACCTCAACATAAGAATGTGAATTTTTCACAGACTTTTTCCATCTTCTGTACTTTTTGTTTCTCCTCTGTTTTTCGTTGGCTTGTTTTTGACTTGGATGGTTTTTTTGCACCTCTATCTAGGTTCTAGGAGGGTTTTAAATATTTTTTTTTCTAGTTTGTTTATTTCTGATGTGGCCGTGGAACATGTTCTTACCTCAACATAAGAATGTGAATTTTTCACAGACTTTTTCCATCTTCTGTACTCTTTGTTTCTCCTCTGTTTTTTGTTGGCTTGTTTTTGACTTGGGTGGTTTTTTTGCACCTCTACTCCATCTAGGTTCTTGGGGGATTTTAAAGATTTTTTTTTTTTTTTTTTTTTTTGCCTTCCTTAAGCATGTTGGTGGGCAGCCACCATGGTGGTATTGGGATAAAGTAAATACACCTGTGAGGAAGCTGTGTTTGTAAACTGTGTTAAAGTGTGAGCTGTAATAAAGAGATACCATTAACCCTTGGAGATACTCTTGACCTTGAAGTTTTGACCTCTGCAAGTTCAATTTGCTCTTGAAGGTTATTTTTGCACAACTCTCCACCTCCAGTCTTTCTTTGAGGCACAAGAGTGGGAGAACAAGACATTCTGCATGTGAGGGAGCTGATGACAATTCCTTCCATTAATTCTTATATATATAGAGTGCTTAGAGCTAAAGGTCCCAATATGCCTCCACACTTTCAGATTAAATCTAAAAAGTCTTTGTTCTTGAATGCTTTTACATAAATACCCCTGTAGGATGATGTTTTTATGGGTAAGAACTTCATTTTTGTTTGTCAGCAGTGTACTCTTGTGGCAGAGGCAGCCAACTGCAGAGCAGAGCAGAGTGCAGCCAGCAAGGCAAAGCAAGTGGTTGTTCCCTCTGTTCATGCCTTGTGGGGCCACACCTGGAGCACTCTGTGCAGTCTTGGTTTCTCCAGTACAAGAAAAGCAATGATGTGCTGGCAGGAGTCCAGCAGAGATGGACTGAGTTTGTCAAGCCTTAATAAGAGAAGCTGAGGTGAGGTTTGGTGCTGTCTTCAATTACTTCATGAAAGGATATAGAGCAGATGGAGCCAATCTCTTGATTTGGCTACACAGTGAAACGACAAAAGGCCATGTGGACAAATTGCAACATGAAGAAATGCCAATTAGAACAAAGAAAAGAAAAATATGCACCTGATTGCACAGAGAGTTCGTGGAGAGCATCCTCAGAGATGCTCAGAAGTGGATTGCACGAGGCTCCAGGCTGCCACGTCTGTTTTGACCTGCTTGGTGCAAGAGTTTGGACTAAGTCACCTCCAGAAGGTCCTTCCAACCTAGATGATCCTATGGTGTTTGTAGAAACGTGTAATCCGTGGGCCAATATAGTTGCAATTCTACATAGGGAGAAAATTTAGGCATAGCATTACTGTGCTAAAAAGGAGATAATTTAAAACTAGTTTTGATCCAATTTTTTAAAACTAGTTTTGATTTCTTTAACCTGTGAGGCAGCTTGGCACCAAATATGTTTTAAAGGGACTGTTTCTGTTTTCTAAACAATTCATTTAGGAAAATACATACTGGTGTCTTAGAATAATGGTATCTCCTTACCAGGGTAACAAAAACAAGCTGAAATGCTTCTCTAGGCTGATGTGTTGCCAGTTGGTGTTATTGTGGGCATTTGTGGCATATGATGGAGAAACCAGTAGCTCACAAGACAAACTTGTATCAGGTATGGTGTTCTTTCCATAAGGCTGCTCAGTACTCACAGCATGTGTAGACACAGACATCTCAAGTGATTTTTGTGTCTCGCTGCATCTCTGCAGTGGTTTGATAATAGCAGGGAAAATTAATGCAATGTAATGATGCCTGACAGCTAGCAAATCTAATCTAGGCTAAATTCTATTGGATTTATGTATTAGTATTCATGGTCTTGCATATTGTGTATCATCAATCTCTGTAGTGTTGTAATTCAACCATATTAATGAAGTATATTGACACCTTGTCACTGCTCAAGTGGCCACATGATCTGCTGGATTAATGTTGGATATTATAGATGTTGAACGATTCTACTACAGTTCTCTCATATCACAGAGATACAAAAAAATCAAAAATAAGAAAATGTGAAGGTTGAATATTTTTAGACATAAGAGTCTCTTTTTTGCTGTTCAGTTGAGAGAATCCATGTGGAAGAGTACTTGATGCTCTCAGAAGCCAGTAGTAGTAGACTCACTGTGGTCTGAAAAAATATATCAGTGTAAATAAACTTATTTTCAAGTACAGCTCTTAGTTGCTATACTCAGAACTTTTGGTGTAGAAAACTGTGAGAAGCATGTTCCTTATTTCTGAGTTTGTTACAGCTCACATCTTAGTTTGACTGTCCATTTCCTCTGCTTCTCTCTTCACATCCCATGCATTTTCTCTTGTCTTTTTTCTCAGCTTACATGTCTGATTTTTAGTTACCTGCTCTAACACCAAATATCTCTTAAGTGCAGGCACCATTTCTCAAGAACAGAATGGTGATCTGTTCTTACTACTTAGAAACCAATACGCATTCTTTATCTACCTTTTCTTAAATCCAGCTTGTTTTCTTGTAACACGCTGAGTGTTTTTTAAAGCAATTTAAAGGGCAGTGTTTTGTGCTTACAGTGCACTGAAGTTGTTGTTCAGAATTTAATTCAACATATATTAGATTTTCTTACCTGTAGTTCATTTCTATAGAAATGTCCTCACAAAGAAGGTGGTTACCAGTACTTCTCCAGCCTTCTAACACTCTACACCTTATTTATTAGGTTGATGTGTGTGGTTGATGTACAGGTTTGTATACATTCAGGCCACTGGGAAGCTGAATGAATAAGCTGATAAGGACAGATTGAGGTTTCCTTCAGAACCAAACTGGTTCTTCTGGAAGCAGGCTGTGAGGACATTCTGCAAAATGCTTTTGTTTGTGACAAAGAGCAAAATTGTAGCCAAGAAAGCAGTGTTTTAAATACAGTTCTTGAACTACTTCTAACACAGAGGAGGGCAAGATAATGGAATGGAAACTGGCCTTGCTAT